GCATCATCCACGAACGCTTCCTCAGCGTGCTCTATGCCCAGACACGTGAGGCAGCGATCGTGACCGTCCTGAGGTGCCAGGAAACGACCACATCCAGAAACACACGGGTGATAAGACAACTTTAAAAAGACACGATCACCCGTGTTGCTCTTTTAAAGATTGCTCAAATAGTGCTGAAGCACGCAGGGGAGCTGGTCACCGCACACTCCAAGTGTGGCTGTCTGCACGAAAGATTATCTTTTTTGTCCCGTGAGACCGCGACCACCGCTGCAATGCCGTAACGCCCGCACTCGTCTCTTGCAATCACTTGAAGAGGAGAGCAGTAGTGATGCACCACTGCTCGGCTCTGAAGCGAAAAGATGAATTAATGCAATGCACCTGCTGCCTTTTATACTCGCGCTGCGGGGTGTGGCAGCCAGATGCGAAATCCGCATGCCAATGTCCACTGGCTCGTATAGTTACACTCAAAGTGTATTGGTCTCTCTGGTGAGATCCCAGTTCGTCGGTCATCACCGACATGACGACAAGAGTGACCGACTGAAAGGGAACTTATGCTTTCATAATTTATGTTTCATTTAAAGATCCAATGAAGATCCCATAAGTCTTTCAGTCCACGTCTACATGCTAGTGAACTCAAAAGATCCTTGGTCAGGACTCCCATAATTTTTAATCTCGGAGAGTTTTTTCCTGGATACATCTAAAAAAATAAAGCCTCTTTCCAATGGGAAAACAAAAAGTCTAGTTCAAAATATTTCTAGAAAGAGAGCATTCCTCCCACAATACTGCATCTGACTAGTGATAGCAAAGCAATGATGTCAATAAGTCTGTTTCACACTTTCAAGAGCCCTCAAAAAAAGAATTAAGCATCAAGCACCTAATAAAAAATTATAATTATTTAAATACAGTAGCTACATTTACATGCACCCAAAAATGCGTTAGTAATTGGATTGACGACTTAATTGATTAGGATTGAAAATCCTTCAAACACCTCAATCATCTGACTGAACACGATCTGAACGCACTGCGCATTGTGCTGAAGATTTATTTTAAATATATGTGATCCAAACAAAAATGTGAATTGTATTCCAAAGTTAACGGTTCATATAAGCAGAAAGTTCAGAATCTGAATTCAGACCGGATTCGATTGGACTGATGAAAATTAGTGCATGTATACACACATTTGCATAAGTCAGTCGATGCATCCAAAAGGTGTAGTTAGTTACCAGCTCTCACTTATGCTAACTAAAGCCATAAAATGAATGTGGAGCAGCTCAGATTAGTATACTGGCTGATAAATATTTGAGTTCATATTGAAGCTTTTGAAATCTGACTTTTAATTGCAGACTTTGATGTCTTCAGCAGAGATTAAGACATTGTTGAGAGCTCCATTTGCTCTGCATTTAATCGCACTGCTATCTAGGAGAAACAGTTTAGACAGTCGAGACCGTCCTCAATCCTTTTGAAGTATAACATGACGACATTGTGGAAATGACAGCAAAAAATCATCCAGCTGATCTGTGCATTTTTGTGTCTTTTCTCCAATAATTCAGTCTCTGCCAAAAGCAAACGACACAGTGCCACATCTGGAATCATTGACTTTAATCTCTTCTATCGGCTGCGGCATCTCCATGTTTTTTATGGCCATCGCTTTATTCATGCATTTCCTGCTACGGTAGAGTATCTTAAAGTTTATCATTCAGTTAGTGCTGTTTAGTAATTAATAATCATTATTGCTACACTAACAAACAATTTTCACTAAGAAATTGCTGGTACATTTACAAAGAAAGAAACAGCAACACATTGAATTAAACTTGAATTTTTGAAGACTGAAATAGTATTTTCATGTAAAACATTATCCAAGTGATGAGATCAAACCTCTAATGTATTAAAGTTCAGGTTACAAAAGCAGTTTTTTGTATGTTTTAATAGGAAAGCCAAATCAAATCAGGCCACGAAGATCTTGATGAACATGTTTGTGGCTTTGTGTCTACTGAATGCCTCATTTTTGTCAAACGAGAGCGTCGCTAACACACAAGACAACACTGCGTGCGTCTTCATAGCGCTGCTCCTGCATTACTCCATGCTGGCCTCATTCACCTGGTTCTTCATTCAAGCTCTTCATATGTACTTATGGCTCATCAGACAGAACGTCACCATCACAAACTACGTGAGGAAGATCACTGTGTTGGGCTGGGGTGAGTCTGAGCAACAAAACATCTATTAAGAAAATAAAACCTTTGTGAGGTCTAGGTAGAGACGTTTGTCTTGAGTGTTTAAAATAGGAGTTTAAGCTGGATTTAGTTTGGAAATCATATTGTTTATGTTGTTATATATGTTAAATACTGTCATTTGGACACTTTCATTGTGAACAGACCGGCTGTGTTTACAAAAGGTTATTAATTTGACATTATATCTTTACTTTGGGCATTCGAAAGCAAAGCTTGCGTCTTTACAACTGTTATCAAGTGTATCTGAAAAAACAGTTCTAGTTAAAGTACAACGATAAATATTGTGTTTTTGTCTTTTTTTCCAACTAAATAAATTAATCTCTGTGTGCTTTCAGTGTGTCCCGCTCCGATAGTCGTAGTTATCGTTTCTGTAGGAGGATATGAAGCAGTGATCCTAAACATGACGTCTGGAAAAATCACACGAATGTAAGTTGCTTTGATGTCACATATTCATAAATTTATTGATGTTAACTGATTGTCTTCTTAATTTTATTCTCTTCTAATTACAGGTGCTGGATTACAAATTCTTACATTCATTACATAGTGAACATCGGCTACTACGCTTTAGTTTTCGTCTTCACGACAGGAATCTTCATCATGATTGTCACTAAAGTCGTTCAGGCCAGACACATAAAAGCAGTTGACGGCAAGAGAAAGACGTTCAGAAAGCAGCTGATGATGGTGTTGAGTTTGTTCCTGCTCTTCGGTCTGACGTGGTCTGTGGCGTTCTTCAGTTATGGACCGATGCTCATTCCCTCATATTACATATTCACTGTGCTGAACTCATTACAGGGTGAGAAACAATCACATGCATCGATACATTTAGTTTAGCAGAACACTTCTATTTTTTCCTGCAGATTTCAGCTAATAATTAGAGCTAAGGATGTTTTAAATGGTTTCTTATTTTATTATTTAAAATGTTTAATTATACATTTTTTAAAATACATTTAATGTAATGTTTTTTTATTTATTTAATTATTTTATTTAATTAAAAGGGGTTATAATGGGAGTTACACTAATATGATGAATTTGACAAGAAGTCTGATTATTTTTGGTCACTGACTAAAAATTATGCAAATTACTATAATCATATCTGAAATGTATTTTCATTCGTTGAAATAAGTTTCTGTGTTCTTCTTTCAGGGTTTTTCCTCTTCCTGTATTACTACCACATTCACAATGACGTTGCGGGTTGTTTCTCTGATGATCCAGAAAGCACCGTCTCCAGCACAACCATCACTCAATCCAGCACTAATGCTGTGGAAAATATTTATAACTAGCATAATTAAGACAGAAGACTTTCTTTGTCTCAGACTTTCTTAGACTGATTTTTAAACTGATTTGTACAGTCGTTGTTTAATGGGAAACTGTGTATTCTCACCAAAATCAAGCTCAAAAACAACACAAATACAAATGTCACTACTGAAAGAGAAAGAAATGTTTAAAACATTTATGGCCCTAAATAGGGTCAATTTTATTGAAAGAAATTCACAACAAATGACTGAAAAATTCTTACTGAAACTTCTGTTATTGTGGAAGGATTGAATATGATATGACCTGATATTAGTTATGTTCGATTTATTGAGCGTTATAATCATCCTTGTAGCATTTGGACCAATAAGACACACCATTTTTCATTAGATTTAACAAATAAATTATTCATTAGATTAACAAATAGTCACAGACCCCTCACCCAATAAACCTACTGGGTGCCAGGATCAATAAGGGTCATAAAACTCCCCAGTATTTCCAACCTCCCGCTTGGAATTTCAGCCTTTCTCATTGGACAAGCCCTTCCTGAGAGGCGTGAATCTTCTCAGACCTTAAAGGGCTCACGCACAGTTCTGCTAAGTCTTCTGCAAAGTCTTCTGCTAAATCTTCCCCCGTGATGGAGAGCCTGAGCTGGTGCGGGCGTGCCCGGTGTGCTCCAACACATAACCTTTCAGTCGGCGGCTCTGTTAGATTCTGAGAAGATGAGGATGTGAGCTAGAGCGCTTCTGCAACCCTTAAGTCTGCACCAGTCTTCGACCTTGTCTTTACATTCACCATCGATCCTTGGATCTCAGCTGACGTCTCTCTTAGCTCTTCATCATCTTCATCTGGGAGAAAACTCTCCCGACCACCACAGAGTCAGAATAACATCTTTTTGGAGTTCATCACTCTTCAAACCCGGAAGAAGGTGATCGCGACTCCCACACCACCGAACCTCCAAACCATCAAGACTTTCATCCGAGACTGCATCCGGACGCTCATTCCAGGCCAATGCAATGCAAGTATCGTACATTTAACTAAACGAAACAGAGGTTTAGTATAAGCTGTAGACCCCGCTCTAAAACGGCACTGATGGTTTCACTCAGGTGGTTAACGAACTCTTTTCAAAGCTTCATTCTCTGGTTTTCCTGATGGTTTCATCCATCAAGTCTCATTTGCCCTTTCCCATGTATGAGTGATTGTTTGTTTGTTTGTTTGTTAGACTAGTTTGTGTTAGTGTTTAGTTAATAACACTCTTGCGCACAAATTACATGAGTTTCTGATTCTGCCTTGCAAATTAATGTCCCTTTACGATTTTGATCCTTGCTACATGCTCTAATGCATTAATACTGTATGAAAGTATTTTCTGTGGCCACGAAAATATCCTTTCCTAGCATTGATATGAACTTACACTGAATGTTCGCTGGAAGAACAGATTAGTTGAGGGCAATTTAATTCTGCTACAGTCACTACTGGCAGCTGATATAAATAATTGTAATTAATCATATACATTTCCCTTTTGAGTTAATTTGATACATCCTTCTGTCCACTATGTGTGATCACGTGTGTGTCAGAGCAACTCAAACAACACTGAACATCTTTTACGAAACAAATTCACATCTTCAGAAGACTTTCAGTGGATCTAAAATTATTTATTCACTTCAGTCAAACTTGTAAATGTGTGAATACCTTTTATTAGATGAGAAAATAACAAAGCAAGTGCCGTTTATTGTAAAGAAATATTGTATTTCATTGTTTCTATGAAAACATTTCAAACTTGGCATTTTCTGTATGGGAATCTGACTCTAAATATTGCTGATTAATGTAAATATTGTCTAATTGTCTCTAATAAAGGTTATGCTTTCATTAGCATTTTGTTGCAACTTTAATTAAACATATTACTTTTCTACATTTATATTGTTGTCTGTGAGTAAAAATGACTTGATAAACTGGACTTGAATGTAAGCAGATAATACGATTCTCAGTTAAAGCCCAATAAACATGATTTGCATGTTTGCAAATTAACTGTATGTCAGAGTCCAGCGGCTCATAATCCAACAGCTTCATATGTGGACGGGTCAGACAGACTGTGGACTTTCATGTGAAGAATGCTATAAGAAAATTATTAAAGATTTATTTCCAAAGCCTGTAGAAAACAAAGCTAACGTGTGTCTCTAACAGGCCGCTGTCTCTGGGAATTATAACTCGACAAAAGCAGAATTTGCTGTGGCTGATTATCATCTGTTGTTCTACGCGCCAGATAAATTAAGCTTTAGCGTTAGTTCTGGCAGGTCACGTGAGTCAAGCTTGCATCAGCTGATTCTCAGCTGATCACATCTACCTATAGGAATACGACACCTATCGCGGCATTCTTATATAAGCTGTATTCAGTATTATTCAGCAGCTTTTCAGCTTGCTTCGGAGCAAATTACCCTCCTCCATCCCCAGCTCCACCTTTCGCCACAGTCAGGACTTAGCTTTCTGATATTCCTTGCTAATCAGACTCCTTTATCTTGAATAAAGTGTTACACTTAAATATCATTGAGTACATTAATGATATCTGCCTTGTTCTGTTCTGTTCTCATTAATGACAGGCTGCATGGATGGGCAGGGAGGTTTGCCCAGAACAGAACCATACCGCCATACCAAACTTTATGCTAAGTATCTATCATTTTGACGATAGTGGTCCTGACAGAAGTATGTTTCCTTGAAAAATGGATTCAGCAACTTAAACAGAAACATATGCCAATGAATATGTTGTTTGGAGAACATTAGAAAACAAACTAAAATGTAAGCAAAAATAATGTGATTTAAAAAAAAAGATTGTGGCTGTGGGCATCTAAATTACGACCTCTAATATAGAGTTTTTTGTTTTTTTTATCATATCATACATTGTTACACAATAATCTTAAATGTTGATTTTGTTTGTTCAGGCAGCTCAGAAAATCTGATCCAAATCAGCATCCAAGTCAGTTTGACAGATGAATATTTCTGGAACAGAAGTAGCTCAACAGTTCCAGGTAGATGTGAAATATACTGCTAACATGACTGTGTGATACTGCATATTTATTATCTGAAAGCACTTGTGATGACTGACAAACTCATTGAGTTCATTTCCTGTCAATCAGATAATAACATATATAATTTTCACATGAATGTCGAACTAAACATCAAGCCTGTTAATCCTGGAGAGAAATGTAGAAATGCTGTAAATGACAAAGGTATATGCAGCAGTAAGTCTCTTTTAAGATTTATAAATTGCTTTTCAGTTGTTTCTATTGCCTATTTCATACCAGTCGAAGTTTAATTTCAGCATAAAATACAGTACAATGTGAACAGACATTATATTTATTTTCCTCTAATGAAAAATCACTAAGATGGGTTAATATTAAGTCTTTAACATAGAATGTACATGCTTTGAAAAGCATGCTGAGTAATTCATTCACGATAAGTTAACACTGTTTAGTGCTTTAAATAAGCAGTTATTGAAAGCACGACAAAATCAATTACGGCAATAATATGATAAATGTGTGAACTGATGAACATGCATCTATAATGCTGAAATTACAGTGTTTCTTGCTTTATAAATAACCAACATATCACATATTATGTAACATATCATATATATTAGTTTAAATTATTGCACAACTGCAAAAAATGCATCCATTGTTTGTTTCTGTGTTGAAGGGAAAGAAGGAAGCAGATACGTTCTGCATTTTAAAGATGGTGAATGGATGTGCGTGACCTGTGTTGATCGAAAATCAACCACCATTACACCACTGTCACACACCACATCTCACAATTCAACAGTTTCACACCACATATGACAACTCCCGACCCTATTACCAGTGTAGCGCCACATATGACAATTCCCTATTCAACTACCAGTGTCGCACCAGATACGACAACTACCGACCCAACTACCAGTTTCACATTGTATACGACAACTCCCCAGGCAACTACCAGTTTTGTAATGTATACAACTCCCAGCCCAACTACCAGTTTTGCATCATATACAACAACTCATGGCCCAGCTACTAGTTTTGTGTCATACACGACAACTCCCGATCCAACTACCAGTTTCGCATCATATACGACAACTCCCAACCCAACTACCAGTTTCGCGTCAGATACGGCAATTTCCGAGCCAACGATCAGTTTCACATCACATACGACAACTCCCAACCCAACTACTAGTTTCACACCAGATACAACAACTCCTGATTCAACTACCGATTTCATGACAGATACGTCAACTCCTGACCCAACAACCAGTTTTGCATCATATACAACTCCTGATTCAACTATCAGTTTCATGTCATATGCAACAACTCCTGATCCAACTACCAGTTTTGTATCATATATGATAAATCCTGATTCAACTACAAGTGTCACGACAGATACGACAACCCCCGATTCAACTACCAGCTTTGCGCCAGATACAACAACGCTCAAACCTATTTCCAGTTTCACAAGTTTTTTGTTGTATACAGCAACTATCAACCCAACTACCAGTTTCGCGTCATATACAACTCCTGACCCAACTATCAATTTTGAATTGTATACAACAACTCCCGAGCTAACTTCCAGTTTTGCATTGTATACGACAACTACCAACCCAACTACTAGTTTTACATCATATACAACAACTCCCGACCTAACTATCAATTTCACGCCACATACAACAATTCCCGAGCCAACCACCAGTGTCACACCAGATACAACAACTCCCAACCCAACTACAAGTTTTGCGTCGTATACGACAACTCCTGACCCAGCTACCAGTTTTACGTCATTTAGGATAATTCCCGAACCAACTACCAGTTTTGTATCTTATACAACAACTCCCTACCCAACTACAAGTTTCACTTCACATACAAGTTGAGGCAACTTCAAATTTCACATCACATACGACAACTCATGGATATACTGATCCCTCAAAGGCATCGTAAGTGTGCAGTTATCAGTGGATATTCAGTCTAAATCTTGGTCATAGAAAACAATGTGATTCAATCCATTTTACAGAGAA